GAAAATTATTAACACAAGCGCAGAAAAAAAAGCGAGAAAAACATAGTCATCAAACAATGTAAACCAACTTAACAAAATTTGAAAAAAAAACTTACATTTTTAATAAACACACTATAACCGTTGATTAAAAGAATTGTGAAGATACACAATAATTCACCTATTAGGCGAATCCGTGACGACACTGATTTGATATCCCCTTACGTCTCAAGTGCTGTACGGTGGGGACATCAATCGTTCTGCTGCCAACGCATAACTCTAATTTTCTCTAATTCGGCCGGCAAAGGCATATCGAAGGCGGTGTGGATCGGAAAGCGACAGCGTTGCCATATTAAATCGTGTAATATCTGTAATACGTTTGAAGTAAATATCTTTGAATGAAAAATCCGCGTTTATGTATTGAAAATAACTTATTTGTATTAAACATAGAATAAACAAGAATAAAAATTCTCTTATAGATACTGAATATATCATATGATCGAAAAAAGTCGATTAGTTGGCTTGGAAATGACGAATTGTCGACATTTACCATAATATTTTACATATGAAATAATAGCGATCTTCATTTCCAAGCCAACTCTGACGCCGTTCTTTGTTTAATCATATAATATTATATTAAATTGTTTAATGATAGAAAAATTAGTATTATTAGCGTACGGTACCCAAAATCCGTAAATCTACGGATTAATCAGTAGTTCTGGCAACACTGAAAGCAGAACTACGGTACCGTATTCTTTACCCGCTGCGCTGTAAACGATAAACGACTATCAGCGCGTAGCGGCGCAGAGCTAAACTAAATCTCGGAATTCTCAGACAGGTTAACGGTAACGCCAGCTATATATCGCATAGATTTTTTGCCACGAAATCGCCCATAACGTTCATCAATCAACGCTATAATGTCCCGTCACCGTCACGTCTAGCCGCCGCGCCTGTTCAACGAGTCAGGGAAGAATATGGCCAGAAGGCGGCGCGGCGCGCGGCGGTGTCCAAACAATTACAGGAATACAATATATCTGTGAATTAAAATGACAGATAACAGTTCTCACTAACAGTTCTCACTGTCAGATATTCTCTCGTTAGACAAATTTTACGTACCTAATAGTCTAAGAGCTAGCAACGTTTTCGAGAAAGTATTTTAAGAAATTAGGCTCTTCGATATATCTTTTACTATGCTCTCTGGAATAGCATGCGGCTTTTTATTTTATTTTCGTTTATATTCTGATAGTAAAGAATTAAATATTCGTTTTTTTAATCACCAGAATTATTGAATACTTTACTATCAGAATATAAACGAAAATAAAATAAAAAAGTGTTTGCCTTGGCCCGGTCTCGAACTCTGAATCATCGGTACGTGGTCGGAAACTCTACGCGCTGTGCTATGGAGACTTGTTCGATTTATATATTCAATACTAGAATTTAAAGGAGTAATAAAAACATAGAGTCTTCTTTCAATGCGCAGTAGGGAACGCAACGTTTACCGGCAGCCAGACGGGCCGCATGCTGTTCCAGAGAGCATAGTAAACGATATATTAAGCAGCCAGCTTTCTTAAAATACTTGTTTTCCCGACGTTGCTAACTCTCGTACTATAAATAAGTTCATAATTTATATTTCGGGTCCGGATTTTGTTCGGATTTCAGAGATCACTTGCAAAAAACTTATATGGAAAGCCTAGTTACGTTAGATTTTTTATACTTGCGCTAAAATAAATATATAACCTGCTTTAAAGTGCAATTCTATACTAAAATAATAAACACCCCACACATTTCAAAATTAATTTCAGCCAATACTGGAAAATATTTGCATGTATGTGTTTTAGTCTGCATTATGTTTTTGTATAATAATTAGCCTTAATTTTCTTTCAAATAGAATAATATTTACATGATCAACATTTTAACGCAAACATTTGGTTTATACTTGCTATACGATTCAATTTAGTGTTTTAATTAGGCATTTTTTATCAACTGTCAATGTAATAAATTATGTACAAAATGATAATAGTAATTAAACAAAATAAATAAATACACACTACAATTATATTTATACCTTATCTGCATCGGTTCGTAACTAATTAAAAATTTATTAATGCAAGAAAATAAAAACAAAAGTGACTGTATGATCGCGTGTAATGGCCATAGAAAAATTCAACGCATACTTATAAGTCGACAGAAAAATAATAATTTAATCTCTTTAAAATTCCTTGGCGATAAACAATATAAATGCACGCTAGTGGAATACAGTATAGAAATAAGAATATATAGAATATTTAATAAGAAATAAGGAATTTAGAAGATATGAATAATTATGTCTAAAAATGGGTTTTCTCCACGTACTAAATTAATTTTAGTATAGAGACTGTCATTTATATACCATAATTTTTCGTTTTATGGCCATGCAGGGCTCTGACTTTGACAGATAAAAATATTCTAGTGTATTTAGATAAAAACCATATTAAGTACTAGGCCAATAATTAATGCAGATAAAAATTGGAAAATGTTGATAGGTGCATACTGCGTGTTTTAACACCATTTTATGCTAATCGAATTACTTATAACAATGAATTTTAGACTCATTAACTGCTCAATGTAGTAAATATGCGAACAGAAAAAACGTTTCCTAAATTGCTGTTATACAGGTTATACAAATATTTTTAGGTGTAGTATCAGATGTTTTGACACCAAAAAACTCATCAATGACTTTTTTGCGATTTTTTTTTAAAATGTAGAATTTTTTTGGATTTTTTTAGTTTTTTTTTGATAATTTCTTGATAATATGGCAACATAGGTAGTAGATTAATATCACAATAAAGAAAACCCAGAAAATAATCAGTGGTTCTCAAAATCAAAGCAAAAAATAATTTTTTTTTTAATTTTCAAAATAAAATCGGTTACTTTGGACTTATTTGAAAAACGGTAAAGAGAAAATCCTGTTCCTTTATCGAGATCTACCAGCTCTGAAAATATTTGCACTTATTTAAGACTCACCCTGTATAATAGATGTTTTTAGTTATAATAGTCAGGGGGCAAAAAAATAGTAAAATATTGCAGTGGGAGTAATAAAAAAAATTCCAAAAAATGTTTCAAAAAATTCCAAATTTTCAATTTTTTTTTCGCGAAAGAAACCTCATAATCGTGTTTCTGGGGTCGAAATATACGACCCCTACACTGATAAAAAAGATAGACTTGAACTAAAGTCGTCATCGTTCTTTAAAAAAAATTAGTGGCAAGAGAATTTATTTTAGTGTAAAAGAAAATATTTTGCCCGAAGAAAAACTCTCTTAACTCAAGAAAACTGGTTCTCTTGAAAAAATCGAAAATTTCTCTTGAATCTATTTTCATTCAACCAAGTGCAAGTTACTTTGTTTTAAGATAATAAGAAAAATACGCTAGGAAGTACTTCATTCAAGAAACATGGCCATTTTTCCTATAGCTAAATATTCTTTTGATAAAAAATAATAACGAGACGCAAAGACGATGACAAAGGACGGTATATATAATCAGTCGGCAGTCCGATGAGTCGTATGTCGCAGTTCATAGGTCGGACATCATAGTACGTACGGGTTTTGTTGGTTGGAATTTTCACTTGGAATTTTGCATAATTTGCTTTTTAAGCGCATATCGTATGAGAAATTAGTGATCGTTATTAACATGCATTTGTCATTTTTTATGGACAAATTTTAGGATATATGGATTCTTTAAAGGAGTTTCTGAAAAAATGGAAATTAGAGCATTTATTTGCTATATTTGAAGGTAAGAGACATTTACCTAATGCACCTGTTTAGATAATGCATGCGTGACTATAGATAGAATAAGAATAATAAATAAGCAAATAATTACAAAAATTTTAGAATTTCAAGTCGTCGCTATTAAAAAATTCAAAATGTGACCAAAGCTTATAATTTTAATAATTTATTTGCTTTACTTTGATTAATCGTGATGTAACATTTTTTTGTAATTTGTAGAGTGATGAACCACCCCAAAAAATACCAAGGAGTGAAGAAGCAGAAATAACTACTATCGAGGAAAATAATATCACTATACTTACTACAGACCAGGAAAACCTAAATTTATCAGAAAATAATATACCCATATATAATATGCCTGTATATGATGTATAGACTTCTCTTAGATCAAAATAAATTTTAGTTGAGTCAATAGAATTCGCTATTAGTTTAAGAAAAGTGTCTCTTTAATCAAGAAATGTCCCTTTTCAATCAAGAATTTTTGCATGAATCAAAGACACTATTGTTCTTGTAGCAAGAACTTCTTTGCATATTCATTTTGGGTCAACAGTGAAATACTTTGGACAGATAGATTCTTCTATTCTCTGAAGTAATTTTTTAAAGCTTATGAAAAGATAATTAATGCTATGGGCAAAGAAACATCGTTCTTGGCCCTATTGAAAAGCGCCAATCTTTTGGGTCAAAGTCATATTCATTTCGACTGAGAGATCCTTTTTTTCAGTGTAAAAATATTTGCACTTATTTAAGACTCACCCTGTATATGAATTAGCCCTAGCCCTTAAGCCCTATCTAGACATAACGTTTTACCTGTCAGGTAAGACAGAATAAGCGTATAAACTGGAAGATATACCTGCGATTTTAGCAAATACAGCATTGTGTTGAAATTGAATATGGCTACAAAATTGTAGAATTTATGGTTTAAATTTCAATTATAAACTGGCAAAGCGTAAAACTACTATTTGTGAAAATTGTGAAAATAGTATCGTTTGGTAATAACCAACTAACTTTGTAAAACTACATTGTTTTGTGAAATTATGCAAACATATTGGATTTTTAACAGTTTATTGTTAAAGATGCTGTAATAATATCCGTATATTTTTTTTTCTGAACAGGTAAAATATGATGTTAGGCAAAGTTTTATAGTGATTGTTTTAATTTCATTGATTGTAGAAAAAAAGATAATAACTGATTATGATTACGATGCTAATATAAATTACTATAACATTGCACTTTTATAAAACACGGAAATCAAAAGCAACTTACACTTAAATTAATTTCACATTAACAAACGATCCACTAACCAATCTCACTATTTATTCTTTCCCCAAAAAACACTATTTAAACGAAGAATGTTTTAAAGATACGACATTCAAAGGAGTAATAAATTGATATTAAGTCACTTGCCGAGAGCACTTAATAACATCACGGATTAAGGCCTTTATAAACTTCATTTTAGCACCACTTATCTTATTCGAACACTGCGCTTCTCCAAGTTATTAATAATCGCAGCCGGCTTCGGAAAGCTCCGTGGTCCGACGTAAATAATATTTTATCGCGACGATACGGACAGTTTTCTATCTCTGTTTGACGTTTATGCGAAAGCGAATATATCTATCTTATTCTCCAATGAAGCGCCGTTATCGCCGGCATGAATTTGAATAACTGAAATGTCTTCCTTATGACAATACAGTACTATCAGCATATATTATAACAATAGATAGTATACTCGAGTAGTAAAAGACATTTTGCATTTCCTATGTCATTAAAGCGGTCTTCACAAATTCGTACTTTCCAGTTAATTTAAGAGAGTGTCCTCTCTTTTTCTAGTTTATTGATATACAGACAGGTCAAAAATGGTATTATACAATTTGATAGACAATTAAATTGTGCATCTATACCGCGTTCGTCTCAAAAGTGGCTAACACCTATAACTTTTTTATTTTCTTAGACAAAAAAACGAAATTTGGCATGTTAGTATATGACATAAATTAGAATTGATTGACGCATTCAATTGTGTTTAGTAACTTCCTGTTTCACCGGAAATGACTACAACTTTCGATTTTTAAATGGCACCCCTGGTATATTTTTACTTTATTCGATAGAAAATGACACTCTGAATAAAATGACATATCATATGTCAATTTTTGACATTTTCGCATACGGTTTATTTGAAATTGTAACATGCAGTTCATAATGACAAAAAAAGGCTTTAAAAAAATGTATTTTAAATTTCAATCTAGAGTGCAATGGGTGTGTTAACACTAATTTTTAAGCAAGCCTTGGAAAAATAGATATAAGATGCCCAAATCAGTTATTTTAATCATATCTCAATTTTTTCAAATGGAACCATTGTGGCTCATTAGCACATTTTTTAAGAATAATTTGGTAACACACACTTGGTATTTCGAGTCAAATTGTCATTATGAACTGCATGTTACAATTTCAAATAAACCGTATGCGAAAATGTCAAAAGTTGACATATGATATGTCATTCTATTCAGAGTGTCATTTTTTACCGAATAATGTAAAAACATACAGGAGGTGTCATTTAAAAATCAAAAGTTGTAGTCATTTCCGGTGAAACAGGAAGTGACCAAAAAGAATTGAATACGTCAATCAATCCTAATTTATGTTATATATTACCGTACCAAATCTCGTTTTTTTATCTGAAGAAATAAAAAAGTTATAGGGGTGAACCACTTTTGAGACGCACCCGGTATACAGGGTGGTCCAAACTGTATTCCAGAAACTTCGGCAGTATATTCTGCAGATAAAAATAAGTAAAAAAGTTCGTATTGTCCTAAAATGCTTAGGTTCGGAAATACAAGGTGTAGAAGTTTCGTTTTTGTTTGGATTTTTCCAAATTATTTCTGAAGTGACGTCAATATTTAGATGAAAATTAGTAACTGGGAGTTTTTTGACATGAGAAATTTGATTTTCATGTCAATATGACTCCTATTTGTAGGCGGCGCCACCTAAATGTGTTTTAACTGATTTGAAGAGTAATAACTTTTCGTCCGTACCTGTATAAAACTACCGGGAGAAAAAATATATATATTTTTTACGTAAAAATGTTTCTCGAGATATTTAGAGTGGAAATAGTCAATGCATGTTTTTATTGACAAAAAATAAACACGCCGAGTAGGTAGTTATTTGTCGGAAATGATAAATTTAGAAAATTTAAAATTAATAATACATTTTTCTTCGAAATAATGATGGTAAAATAGTTTCTGTTAAACTTTTGGCACAAAAACATTTCAAATTAATTATTTCACTCTAATAACTATTTAGTCAACATATCAGGTAGGTATTGATAATTTGGATTCAAAATATCTCAACAACCATTACTCGTGTTTTTACCAAGAGACCTTTTCTACGTAAAAAACGTCGCAAATGTATATATTTTTTTACTCAGTAGTTTTACACAGGTACGGACGAAAAGTTATTACTTTTCAAACCAGTTAAAAATATGCAGGTAGCGGCTTCTACAAGTAGGAATCATATTGACATCAAAATCAAATTTCTCATGTCAAAAAACTCCCAGACACCAATTTTCATCCAAATATTGACATTACTTCAGAAATTATTTGGAAAAAATCTAAATAAAAATAAAACTTCTACACCCTGTATCTCCAAAACTAAGCATTTTAGGACATACATTTATATGAAATATTTTACTTATTTTTATCTGCAGAATATGCTGCCGAAGTTTCCGATCTTCTGATTTCCAGTCTCCATTGGTCTCTATCTGTCCAGAGGTTTTCGTCTATTCCTCTAGTTCTGATGTCCCCGTCTATTCCTTCTCTCCAACTCCGTCTAGGTCTCCTTCTCTTTCTTTTACCCTGTGGTGTCCAGTTGAATACTTTTTTTGGGATTCTGCTCCCTTCCATTCTTTGTACGTGCCCGTACCACCTGAGTTTGTTAATTTTAATTTCTTCTGTTATCCTGTGTTTCACGCCCATGATTGTTCCGTCATTTCTGAAATGAGTTCTCTCATTTCTTACTCTGTCCAGTTTCGATTTTCCGGCCGCGCGCCTCCAAGTCCATTTCTGTAGCCTTGAGTGACTTAAGTTTTTTTTTTTTCAGAGGCCATACTTCACTTCCATAACTAATGATGTTTTTAACTATGCTGTTATAAATTTTGTGTTTTTTTTGTTTTGATAATGTCTTATCCCATAGAATACTGTTCTTCTTCTAGTGCAGATCCATTAATGGATATTTGTGATAACATTTTCCATTGCTTCTCTATTCCTGGCGGTGTGTATTAACGACTGTACATCGTGTAACCCTGTCCATTGTCCAATATTCCTCAGCCAAGGTATTTTCTTCCTTCCGATACCTCTCCGGCCTTCGATTTTGCCTTCGATCAACAAATGCAAGAATTGATATTTGGGGTTTCGCATTATGTGCCCCAGGTATGCGTTTTTTTTTTCTTTTTAATCAATTGAAGCAATTCACGCTCTTTGTCAACACGTCTACTGTTGAGTTGTCTAATTGCTTGTCTTCCCTGGTTGTTCTTGCTTAAGCAAGAACAATCTTCGGATTCTGCATTTTTAAGAGAACACTGTCTCCTCATATGAACACCTCAGTAGATTAAAGCTAAGAAACAACAACGAATGCAGTTTCTGTGGGGAAAATGGGGAAACATCAGAATACATCATCACTGAATGAGCCGAGACGACAACCATTCGTGCCATAAACTTTGGTTACAACTGATATCGGAGACGGAGAACTACCCTCTGTAAAACCGTCTCAGATACTGGCTTTTATCAAAGCCATAAAACTGTATGACAAATTTTAACTTAAGAAAGGGAATCCCCCTCCCATACAATTCTATCTCTAAAAAATTCTATCAAAAATAATCAAACAGTTAAATGGCATGTTCTAATACGAATTAAATTAAGATTCCTTCAATAAGAATACTTAAAATTACTTAATAAGTATTTTTAATTATTCTAATAAAGCCAGTTTTATCTCATCATCAGCAACACAGAAAAAAAAACGAAATAAATATAAATGCAAATGATGCATTGTAATCGCCACGCCTGCTTGTCTGTTTATTAAAAAAGATCTCTTCTTTGTCTGATGCTCCTGCATGCTTTTTCTCTCGTTCTCGCGCCCTAACAATGGAGATAGAGCTATAGAGCAAGCTGGAGAGACGTCTAATTATAAAACATGGGCGTTTGCGGTCTCCGTCTGGCAGTAAGCAGACTGTAGATTACGATTTTTACGGCTCATTAATGAGCATTTGATAGTATTGTGCGGAGGATCCTTTGTGTTGGACTTGATACGGTTTCAGAATTTCGCGCTCTTGAAATCGACAGTTAAACCACGGCCAAAGACGTATACTTAACCGTGTTGTTTGACAGGTACGTTTGCGTAATTAGACAGTTACAGCACAATACGTATACGTATCTCTGGGTACGTAACTCGTGGTTGTGCAAACGAGAGTTAAAGCAAGTATTTTGACGTCCGTACACGGAATATCTTGTTTTGTGAAAATCTTTTTGTAAATTTAAGAGCTCAAACGCACTGACGGCCAGGTCGCAGCGACCAGATTGCTGCTACCTCTAATAGCATTAAATCAAATGATACAACGCGCACTAACGACCTGGGCCCGTATTCTGTAACTTTGACATCAAAACGTTACGTTTTCAAAGCGGTGAGCGCAAGTATTCGATCAGCGAAACGCAAGGCAGTCGATTTTGGTATTCTCGTTGCCATGCGAATCGTGTTCTGGATACGCGTTGAGCACATATTGGCAACATCACAATTTCTAATGTAGGTAATAGTCAAAAGTTGATAACTGACCGATGTAACAATGAAAAATGTCAATGTTACGTGAATTTCATAACCTATTGTTGAGTTATGTCAAGCTATTTTTCTATGGATATGTCATTATTCTTATTATACGAGGAAAGTGTTGAAAACGCTTCTCAGCATTTTCGATGTTTTGAACAATATTTATAGCTGCCGAGTCATAAATTATCAATTACTTATTGAGGAATTTATAGAAGTAGTAATTTTCACTAAAGAGCAAGATAACGCACAAAATCACAATTTTTTCGAATTTCACTGACAGTTTGACAAGGAAAACGATCCTTTAAGGCATCCATTTTCAAAGCGCTCAGCGCAATCAGTAAAGACGCTAAGCGCGTCAGACGAAGTCGATAATTAAGTGCGCGGTCAGCGAAAATTAACGTCATATACGCTGAGCGTCTAAAAGCGCATAGCGTTTTCAAAGTTACAGAATTCGGGCCCTGGCCGTTGGCTGGTCGCTGCGACCAGTAGACTGCACTAAAATAATATTATTTTCTGCAGCTTGTTGCCGGTTTTCTTCCAAATTAACAATTTTTCAGATAAAGTCCCTTAAATTCAACGCAAAATTTTCTATAAGATGCACACGCACGTGCAGAAAAACCAAAGAAATAGTATACACACTGGATCAAAAGGAGACAAATCTATAGTC